GTGTGTTGAGGGTTGAGTGTTGAGTGTTGAGTGTTGAGGGTTGAGGGTTGAGTGTTGAGGGTTGAGTGTGTTGCGGAAGTGGTCATCTGGTGCTTGTGTTTCATATTAAACAAAATATATAAACACAAATGTTAAACAAGAAATTGAAGTCGCTTTCTCTTTCCTTCATTATCTCTCAATTTTTCTCTCTCATTTTCTCCCCCCCCCCTCTCTCGTTTCTCTTTCATTTCCTCTTCCCTCCTCTCTCATACCCTGGGCACCGGACGTAACATGGATCTTCTTATTACACTCTGCACTTCACTTCCTCGTAGATTACGGGCTATTCATGCCCGTGCCACATCTTGGGTGGCTTAATCTTCATCAATCATCAATCTTCCTCGTAGACTGTTCTGGATTTTCTATTGCTCGAAAATTATGCCCGCCTGTACAAGGTAAGGGAACTATCAGGAGTAAAACATGATTGATTGATGAAGATTAAGCCACCCAAAAGGTGGCACGGGCATGAATAACCCGTAAGTGGTGGCCCTTTTGAGCTATTGCCAGTATCAAAAGCTGATACTGGAGATCTGTGGAGGTGCGACTGCACGCTGCGTGACGGGAAATGTCTCCCCCGTGGGTAAAACACCAAGCCATTACCACTATATAACACTGGGAAGGGATCAGGATAAGGAATCGGGATGGGACGGGGGGAAAGGAATGGTGCCCAACCACTTGGACGGTCGGGGGCTGTGCAAGCTGTTGTTACGTATGCATTATTCGTCCTAAATGGCCGATGATTATCATAATAAAGAGCAGATAACAGATTCTTTTCACTCGTGCAGATAACAGATTCTTTTCACTCGTGCAGATAACAGATTCTTTTCACTCGTGCAGATAAAAGATTCTTTTCACTCGTGCAGATAAAAGATTCTTTTCACTCGTGCAGATAACAGATTCTTTTCACTCGTGCAGATAACAGATTCTTTTCACTCGTGCAGATAACAGATTCTTTTCACTCGTGCAGATAACAGATTCTTTTCACTCGTGCAGATAACAGATTCTTTTCACTCGTGCAGATAACAGATTCTTTTCACTCGTGCAGATAACAGATTCTTTTCACTCGTGCAGATAACAGATTCTTTTCACTCGTGGGGTGATGAACCTTTGAATCACCAACCTTGACCTACTCCTCTCTCATTAACATCAGTGTGACCTGCCAAATGGCACTCAACATATGAAGCCAGTTCTGTTTATTATTATCATTCGTCAGTTCTATTTATGATAATATGTATAAGTAGAACTGGCTTAAAATTGTTCGTTTGTGGCTGACCACAAACTCAACCTTACCATTGACAAATCTATTACTAGTCTACCAGTCAGTTTAAACTAAGATTTAACAATATCCAAATTAAGGGCAGAGCATATAGGATATTCCTTGGTGTTGACACTGACAACAACCTGAATTTCAATTGTCATTTAAAGTTTCCATAACAGTAGGCATTCTCTCTCTAAAAAAAATCCGATTCTACGTAGCTCGCTCTGCCTTGGTCATACTTTATTATTCGCTCAACTATCTCTCGCCTACGGAATCTGTGCCTGGGAATCTACAACCCAAAATTATATTAGACCCTTATTTACTCAACGTAAATCAGCAATAAACTCCAATCACAGACAGCAGTCTGCTCCCTCACTCGTTTAATCCATGAATAAGTTAAATATCAGTTAAATGTAGTTAAAACAACAGATTCTTTGCAGACGAGGAGTCACAATAACGTGGCTAAAGTATGTTGACCAGACCACACACTAGAAGGTGAAGGGACGACGACGTTTCGTCGTACTTGACAATCGACTTGAGAATGGTCCAGGACGGACCGAAACGTCGTCGTCGTCCCTTCACCTTCTAGTGTGTGGTCTGGTCAACAGATTCTTTTAGACAGTCTATGCAATCGATCCAAAGACCACAAGTCTGGTAAACGGGAGAAGAAGGATTGGGTGAGGATATAGGAAAACTTGAGCAGGTATCAAGATAGCATAGTATTTACAATCTTGTAAAGCCACTAGTACGCGCAGCGTTTCGGGCAGGTCCTTAATCTAACAGATAATTTGTAAGGTTAAAGGAGGGAGGGAAGTGGCCCCAACCACTTTGGGTTATGTGTGAGATGATAAATAATCTCTAGGGTTAGTGGCCCTCAGGTAAATAAAGGAAAATTTGAATTATAAATAAATGAATTGAATTTTAATTAAATTCATGTTTCGTTTGTCTTGTCATGCTCGGAACGTTCTGCGTATTAGTGGTTTAATATGTTCTTATTTATATTTTACGAATAAAATCAGTTTTATTACTATTAGTAGTAATAGCAGTATTATTATTATTAATGCGAGACAGAAAAATATATAGTATAGTCAGTCCTTGGAGAGTAACAGAAAATGTGTGTTGGTAATATATATATGAAAATTAAATATAAGGATAACTTATTTATTATAATTCCGTTATCGCAGACAGGAAGCCTTGATATGAGGTTATCTTGAGATGATTTCGGGGCTTAGCGTCCCCGCGGCTCGGTCCTCGACCAGGCCTCCTTTTTGTTACACATCCCCAGGAAGCAGCCCGTAGCAGCTGTCTAACTCTCAGGTACCAATTTACTGCTAGGTAACAGGAGCATCAGGGTGACAGAAACTCTGCCCATTTGTTTCCGCCTTCACCGGGGATCGAACCCGGAACCCCAGGACTACGAATCCGAAGCACTGTCCATTCAGCTGTCACCCTTGTGTATATATAATAGCCTGTATGTATATTTAAAAGGTACAAGAATCTTGCATCGAGGTCCATTCAAGGTCGAACTACTGGTCTGCCACAGGAACTAATCCTCCAACTGTTACCTAACTTCGAGGAACCTGCTTACTGCTAGAGGAACAGCGGCATTAGGAGAAAGGAAACGTGCTCAACCATTTCTGTCCCGCACGGGTAGCGAACCCGGGATCCCCGATTGTGAGTCGAGAACGTCGCACTATACAACAGGAACTTAAAAAAAAACAGTACATCAATGCGGCACATCATATGGTTTCCAAGAGACAGATGGACAGGAAGGCTAATATATAGGCTTTATAGTCCCCGATTCTAGGAAAACAACGATGGGAAGCCATAGACTAATTACACAAAATGCTACCCACAACAGTTGGCTTAACCCCCGACCCCACTAGTACGGCGGGAATGGAACCTGGAGTCCCATTCCTAACCTAACAGCCTAACCACTTGTTTGGTTAAACCGTAGAAGAACAACAAATCTAACCATTAATTATTTGTCAAAAATAAAAAATAAAAATTCCAAGGCAGTTGGGTATTAGCCTCATGCAACTTTGTAAGGTGATTTGGGATTGGAATAGGAAGTGTCATCGATGTGTCGGGAACGATCCTAATGCCCCTCTTTAAGAGGGATCGACTCCTATTGTGGCGCCTGTGAGGTGTAACATTGTGGTTTGGTTTTCCCCTGAGAGTTTTTCGACAGTTTTCAGCTTTTCGTAATTACTGCATGTTCCAAGAGAGAGAGAGAGAGAGAGAGAGATAAAGGATATTAGGGGGGGGGGGTGGAAGAGGGGGTACCTGGGGGGTTGAAGAGGGGGGTACCTGGGGGGTTGAAGAGGGGGTACCTAACTGGGGGGAGAGAGAGACCTGGTAACCGGGTTATCCTGGGCACTTCTGGGGTACCTCCCATTTAATATTAACTGATAAATAAATTACATAGTCGACTGTAACTATAACTCTCCGGTTAGCTATATATTTTATCGATTAACTGACACCTTAAAATGCTCTCAATTCGGTCGTGTCAGGAAGACTTCAACTAAGCTTGAAATTCATTATTTTTTTTTTGCTGATATCTTAAATTTTTAGTTAAGGTATAATGCAAATTATATAATTAGCAGTTGAAATGTCTGAAATCCGGTCATCGTCCTATAAATTGAAGGCTGAGTGGGATATTATGTTTGACAGACCACGTCACTCGTGGATGTGATGTCACTCCTCGTTAATGTGACATCACTTGTTGCTGTGACGTCATGTAGCGCCTTAGGGTTGGGTTTCCGCTTTACAATGAACCACCGGGATTTGTACGCACAACCCACCACACAACATTAGTATTTGTTACGCAATTTAATTGCTTTTACGAAAATTAAAACCAATTAAATGGGTTTAGGAGAATTTAACAGTGTATTGTGCCCCCCCCCCCTTAGACGGATCGTAGGGTGTAATCGAAGCTAACAAACGATCCTACCATCGTCAGATAACAATACCCAGATCAGATGTTTGGTCGTCCTCGACGATCTTGTTCTATCCATACAATATTATTCCACACTAACCAAATTGTTTCAAATTGTTTCTCGTCTTCACCTTATTCACGCCACTATTCATCCAACTCATCATATTTTTCAAAATATTCGTCCCAAGGTGATAAGGAGCACTGTTGTTTGTTGTTTCAGATTTAGCTACTCAGAACGAAGTGTCCATGTAGCACGGGCTATGGTGAGCCCGTAATAAGGAGCACTTCCGACTACTACCATTATGCGTCGTTGGCGTCTCAAGCAGGTGACGTGTCACCCGAACGGTGGGTCTCGGCTCTTATCTTGGAGTGCCGCGGGGGTGCCAGCCCATATGAGTGCCAGTCCAATTGCCAGATATCTCTCTGCCTTATCTCAGGGATACTGGGAAAAATGTTATCTAGGTCGTTCATTGCGAAAATAGATAATGTCATCAAAAGCCTAAAGATAATAAAAATACACGAACGTTAAATTACAACTGTTTCCAAAGTGTCGAATCTTGCTCGCATGGACAGTTCGTTCGTATGCACGGCTGACTATGGTATTCCTGAACAGCATTATAAAACGCCAATTTGCGGTGTTAATGGCCTTGTATAGCCTTCGTGTTGACGCCTCGTGGAAACCCGTGACTCTACGGTAGGAAGCGCTGCTGTTACTCAGAGTTATTCGTAGCAGGAGATGGCAACACTGCAGCGGAAATGTGATTACAGAGGGCAGAGGACTTGATAGCACAGTTGGCCACCGTTGACATCGCGACAAATACCATTCACTTTTACCCGGCGCGTTGGTGCGGATTTTCACTGTTCTACTGGCCGTCCAGTCTGCTAATTCAACGGTGAAATTACGGCTTTTCCTAAGGGACAGTTGACTTTTCCGGTAGCGGATTGGCTGTGGCGGTGGGGGAGTGGCGGGGTCCCGTGACACCGACCAGCGACCAGGAGTGGGTGGAGAGTGAGACACACTCACGCAGACGTTGTCGACTATTTTGCTTCCAATAGTTTGTAAACACCCCCCCCCCCCCAGCTCTCCTCGCCGCTGGTGGCGCTATTGGCTAGTTGTGTCAAGTGCTAGTGGGGGCTGGAGGTGTTGCAGTAGCGGACGGTGCTATTGGTGATGCGGAGTGGTGGTGGTGGTGGTGGTTCTAGGCTAGTGGTTGTACGGAGCTAGTGGTGCTAGTACGCACTTGTGGTGCTAGTACGCGCTTGTGGTGCTAGTACGCACTTGTGGTGTTACGTACTAGTGGCGTTACGAAATGGTGGTGCTATGGGCTAGTGATGCTACGAGCTAGTGCTGCTACTGATTGGTGTTACAGATTGGACTGTTTGTGACAGCATGAGATGATGATTTCTGTCTGACGAAAGCATGGATATAAAATATAGAAAATCTGACAGTGAAAACGTGAACGGTAACAGTGAAAATGTGACGATTCCTGAAAACCAGAGACGGTGAACGAGAAGAAGGTGACGCTAAACGAGAACCTGGTGACGGTGAACGAGAACCAAGTTGACGGTGAACGAGAACCTAGTGACGCTAAACGAGAACCAGGCGACGGTGAACGAGAACCAAGTGACGGTGCCACTGTAGAGAAATATAGTGCGTCAGCATATGTCAACAACTGACATACCTCGCTGACGACACATAGTAAAAAGCAAATCTCATAACAAAGCGAGATGTAACCGCTCAAAATACGAAATATACTTTTATTTTCGAGATTAAAAAAACGAAAACCATTCATATGACTTTACATGACTCTAAAACTTTCAAGACAAGAAGGACAGAAACCCCCTAAAAGTATAAATAAATAAGACGTGGCTAAGATCTGAAGACTCAAGAAAAGTATAAGATAAATTTACACACACACAAGACTAACAAGAAATGGCAGACAGGTCCAATTCTCCTCTACAACATTCCACAGATTTAGCTTCAGGTGTCTCCGCGACTCCTCCAACGCCCTCTGCTGATGACGAAACCTTCAAGAGCAGCTTGAAAGTGCTGCTGAAGAAGCAGGACGAAGAGTTAACCAAGAATCTTGAACACAGGGAAAAATTGGACCAGGACGCCAGAGAAAAAGATGTCTGCTCTTCGCCAGAGAAAGAAAACGCAGCAGGAGAGACTGGTAAGAGAACGGAGCGAAGTTCGGAGGGGAAGCCCAGGAAGAATGCCACCACGCGGGAAAGACACGATGATAGTGGAAGTGAAACAAAGGCAGAGAAACAGCCTCTTAATGGCAGAAACGAAGTAAAAGAGGGACGAAAAGATGACAAGGCTATTGCAGGACTTAATACAGAAAGGCAGAGAGAGCGAAATAACAGCACAGACGAAAGACAAAGGAGACGAAAAGATAACCAGACGCAACATGGAGATGATAAACAGAAATTAGAGGAAACAAACAACAATCCAATGGAAAATGAAGAGAAGACAGGATCAAAATCGACAGAACATAGAATTCCAGAAGTCACAAAAAGAGAAAGTCGTAGAATGCCTAAAGAGGAAGATACAGAACACAAACATAAAGCAAAAGACGATAGCCAGAAGGAAAGCGACATTGGCGAAAGGGATGGAGACAGAGACGATCAAGAAAGGGACAGGAAAGAGAAAGCTAGAAGTGTTGACAAAGAAAGTACATGCAGAGATTTGAAGGCGGAAGAGAGAGGTGGAAGAGAGGAGAAGAAGAAGAGCCCCAAAGAAAACACAAGCAGCAGACATAGAAAAAAGGGTAAAGAAAGAAAAAATGAAGAAGAAGGGGTACAAGAGAAAGTAAAGGATATCAGGAAGAAGTCTGACCACAAGGAAAAGTCTGACCACAAAGAGAACTCAGACCACAAGGAAAAGCCTGACCACAAGGAGAAGTCTGACCACAAGGAGAAGTCTGACCACAAGGAGAAGTCTGACCACAAGGAGAAGTCTGACCACAAAGAGAAGTCTGACCACAAAGAGAAGTCAGACCACAAGGAGAAGTCTGACCGCAAGGAGAAGTCTGACCGCAAGGAAAAGTCTGACCACAAAGAGAAGTCTGACCACAAAGAGAAGAAAGAGACTAGCAAAGCCATCAAGCACGACTCACCACCAGCCAACAAACAAACGCAAGAGGAGAACATGAAGAGAGAAAAGCAAGAAACAGGAATTAAAGAAGAGGAGAGTAAAGGAGAGAAGTCACAAGGATTCCTTTTTATGAAGAAAAAGGTAAGATATAATGTTAACTTACAGTAGTGTATTCATTTTGCTTGTTTTTATTCATAGTTATGAATATGAATGCAAAAACTCATGCTTTATATATACACACACGACACACTTACAGAAACACGTAAGTAATAGGTAGTAGTAATAGCTGACAGTGTAGGGTATCGTGGTGTAGGGTATCGTGGAAGATACCCGACGATATTCCGCGGTAAGTCGCTGGTGATCGTCTGGCCATTTCTAAAAGCGGTGTATTGACCTCTGGTTGTGTCCAACATGACATGTGCTTCGTGGCCCTCAAACATGGGCGTCCGTACCCGATGTGAACGTGGAGGCTGCATCTTCGGAGCCATACTCATCTATGCCTGAGAGGTCCTCATGGTCCACATGCTCGTCTGAAGATGCGTAGTCCTCTTCGTCCTGCGTCGCTAGTATTCCTGCTTTCTTTGTGTTGTTTACTGGTGTCAGCGTCCTCTGGGTGCCCGAAGTCGTCGTCCGTGGAGTGTCCGTCTGGGTGTCTACAATTGTCGTCGTTGTGGAATGTCAGTCTGGGCGTCCGCAGTTATCGTCGTCCGTGGAGTGTCCATCTGGGTGTCTACAATTGTTGTCGTCAGCCGTGGGACTTCGATCTGGGTGGCTGTAATTTCATATTCAGTCACTGGTACCAGTACAGGCGCAATGCCCTTTGCTTCCAAAAGCCTGTTTACTGTTCTGAGGAACAAGTTGTGATCTTATTTCGCAACTCTGTCCGCATACTCAATGACGACCTAAATGTGGATGTTCTGGATGGATGTCGGCGTCTCTGGTTCTGGTGGGTCCTGCTGCTGAGGCTTGTTAGGGCGTCCAGTCCATACGGTCGTAGTTTGCATCTGGCTTGTAGAAGGGAGGCTCGGGCACTGGGTCAGGTCCAAGGTCTAAGGATGCGAGGACTTGCCGCTGGGTGGTCGGTGGCGTGGTGGTCTTCTCTTTATTCTTATTCAGTTCCTCCTTCCGTTTGTGCAGAGGTAGAAGATGGGGGGGGGGCGTGGTGTTCTCCACAGTTCGCGCATTTCTTGGTGGTGGCGGTACAGTCCTTGTAGTTGGTGAGTGCTGGAACATGAGCTGCACTTAGCCACCCAAGAGGTGGCAAGGGCATGAATAGCCCGTAAGATATTATAGGTCAGCGGTGGTAGTATATAGGCAGGGAGGAAAACAGTGAGGTACTTACGGGCTATTCATGCCCGTGCTACCTCTTGGGTGGCTTAATCTTTATCAATCAATCAATCAGTGAGGTAACGAACAATGAGGTGAGGTGAAATAATCTTTGGTTCATGATCATAAAAAGATGTAACAGGCCCATTGGTCTGCTGCATGTTCCATGTTCCTGGAACATGTGAGTTCCAGGAAGCAACAATATTTGTGATATTTTAATGAGTTATTAATGGGATAACTGATTATTGATGATCTTACTCAAATCGTTTTTAATTGATTAATTAAAAATGTATTCAAATTGTACAAGCCATTACTAGTGTTAATATTGTATGGTTTTGTGATTTGTTTTAAAGCAGAATCAATAACATTTCTATTGAAAATGCTTCGACAATTAGTTATAGAAGAAGAACTTGCCCAATCAATTTGGGGAGAATTTTCTGACACACGAATGAATAGAGCTTTAGACGGTTGACCATTTTTTACTGGTATTTATGCTGCAAAATTTTAAATTTAAATTATTTTGGATATCAAACATCCAAAAGATTTTTTGGGTGTAAAACATCTAAGGATTTAAAATCCACTAAAACAGTAGACCAAGGAAAAATCTGTACAAATTTAAGGAATGCTGAGAACAGCACAATCTGACTACTCATCCTAGCTTTATATTAACCAAAATACCGATAATTAAAAATAAAGAAGCAGATGAAAACAGTAGATTAAATATGTAAGGAGGCGTCCCTACTGAAGAAGGGGCAAGATTCACAATAAAGTCCTAATAACGTGATATATATGTGTAAAACGCACACCTGGAGTGACCTCAAACGATAGTTCGATCCCGACATCCTGCTCTGAAGATTGTCTTAGTGGTAAGATCATAAGTTTAAACTGATTAGGTTCATTATAAATGGTAAAAAGACCTCTGCCAGTAACAGTTGGATTCGCGAACAGCAGACGCACTTTCTGTAAGAGAATAATTTTAACGTAAGAGTAAGTAGAAAATGGAATGACCAAGACAGCGGAAGTACTAGTAGATAATTACAAATGTAGTTCCCAAGAACTGAATACCTCTCGGGTGGGACACAGAGTCCCAATTATATAAAAAAAAAATGCTTGTTGATTCATTTGCGTCCAAAAAATATGAAGCTGGTTATAGAAAAAGAGATAGTTAATAGGAAGAAAGAATGAATTAGTGAGTGAGGCAGTAAAGTGAGTTTCGAGTGAGAGAGAGAAAAAAAAATGAGGATGTGCGTCAATGCCCCTCACCCCTGCGCCACAGGAAGCGGAGTGCCAGGGAGTGCCAGGGAAGGGGGGTGCCAGGAGCCCCCCCCCTCCTCCTTCACGTCAACACACCAGCAGCACAAAATATTGGAACACTACGTATGACAACATTGCCTCCCAGGCGAAGCAAGACTCCAATTCACGTTCAGTCGCTTTTCAAAACTTTTAAAACACAAGAGAACTTGTCTCTCTACGGTGCTCGTGTGCCAAACTTGTTCTACCCATCTACGACCCAACTGCCCAATCAGTATTTATCAATATTATTAGTCAATCTAAATTTTTCAAATTTGGTTCTCTAATAATGCGTTTTATTTTTATATGTAAATTCAATCCATTATTCGTTTAAACTTGTATATATTATCTGAAGCCACTTCAGTCCTCTGCAGTAATATCTTTGTTTTCTGTGCCTCAAAATACTCACATATACTCACACTCCTAAATTAACAGTTCACATATAACGGCTGATAAACACCGCTATCCCCCCCTCCAAACCTCCAATATTTTATTTAAGAAATCGACAATAGTCGAATAAAAAAAAATTATGGTAAACTTTAATAAAAACCATATACATGAAAAGTACACAAAAACACATGCACACAAATATCGAGGAAAATATATTATTTTCAAAAATTTGATCAATTTTGATCAATTTTTTGTTTACCAATCCACTTATCCATTATAATATCCATTTATCCATATAATATCCACCTATCCGTATAATAACAATGAACTTATAAATTACTGATATAACAATCCACTGAGTCTGAGTACTGATTCTGTATACCGAGGCTTTGTGTATGAGTGTGTATGTACCGAGTGTGTGTATACCAAGTCTGTGTGTATACCGCATGTGTATACCATACATACATACTGCCTGTGTATACCGAGTCTGCATACTGAGTCACTGTTTTCTAAACTTGTCAGGTGTTTAAGACCTTAAGCAGCTGTAATCTGCTGAGTTGCACTCAAGTATTGGCAACACACGGACTCTCTCTCTGAGCTCTAGCTCTGTGTACCCGCCTCGCTCGCTCGAGTAGACGAGGGCTTAGACGCAGGATAGATATTATTATGAGTAATAGAATTTAACTGGTATATAAACAATTATATACACGGGTTAAATTGTACTTATTCATCTTGTTGGTTGGTTTATATTATTGTTGACATGTCTATAGTGGCTTCACTTGTGACATGTTTTGGAGTTCATGATCATGGACACTTCAACAGGAGCCTGTCCCCCCTGGAGCCCAGGATAAGGGACACTTCAACAAGAAGTTGTCCTTCTGGTGCTCAGGATAATTGACACTTCAACAAGAAGTCTACGATGAATGTGTAAAGATCAAAAGTACTGTAGGAGAGAGAGAGAGAGAGAGAGAGAGAGAGAGAGAGAGAGAGAGAGAGAGAGAGAGAGAGAGAGAGAGCGAGAGAGAGAAAAAAAAAGATTAGGATAGGTGGAAAGATGAGAAGAGAAATAAGAATAGATGGAATCGAAGTTAAACAATACTTATTTTGAAAAGAATATTTACCATGAAAACATAAAAGTAGTGAAATAATTTGGAATAATTATGTGGAAAGATAAAAGGTCGTGCCTTACACGTGCCCACTAGCCTCATCTCTACCGTAATGTTCTTACTGTTCTTGCAGAACATTATGATTGTTCTTACTTCAATCCTAATCCCACCTCCTTCCAGTCCTCACGTTTTCCATCTCTATTTGATCTTGATCATGTCTGTAACAAGTGAGGAATATACCGTCAGCCTAGAAGCGCTGCAGGATTGGCTATCATCAATCACCAATTGATGATAGCCAATCCTTAGATTAATCCAACGCCTAACGTTGGATTAATTATAATAATCCCCAGTATTAGTGGGAATTTGTTTAGTCTGAAATCCATGTGTGTGACGCTCTAATCCCGTGATTCACAGACTTGTGATGGGTCACAATCACCAATCGTGTGTGCAGACGATGAGTCACAATAACGTGGCTGACGAAATGATGACCAAACCACAACACACAAACAACGACGTTTCGGTCCATCTTGGACCATTATCAAGTCATCACAACGTCTTGATAACGGTCCAGAACGGACCGAAACGTCGTCGCTTCTCCATCTTCTGAGTTATGGTTTGGTCATTACGCCAATCCTGTAGTTGTCGAAAGGTCACAATTGTTTACCCTTCCCCCCCTGAGAGCTGATAATAGGGTGTTGTTACAATGCATTGATGTTGCTGTACCAGGATTTCATAATTTTTTTGCAATTATAATGTGGATTATAATTGCATATGTACCACGTCATTTAACTCTAACGTGTCACGGGATGAGGGTTGTGAGTGAACTGTTGTTCAAGCGTTGAACTGTTTATGTTAGCGGGTGTTGACTATTTTCATGTCGTCAGCCTTCTTGAGCGTATTACAACCACCACAACAGCTCAGTTGTAAACTGGTCACCACAGGGTTAAGTTGTCTCCTCTCTAGCTAAATGACCCGACCAGGATTCGAAACCATGACGTCTAGGATCATCCCATCCCCCCCCCCTAAACGTACACAGTACCGTGACCACCTACCTACTCACAGTAGGTAGAAATAACCTAAGCTACTCTATCCCTTTGAGATGTATTTTATTGTTTCAATAAAGGTGTTTGAACCACCGCATCAATGATTGTCTATGACGATTGGTCAGTCCTGGTGCTTATTAACTAAGCTCCACGACTGATCATCTCCCGACGACACTCGTGGATCCATTTGGGGTACACTTTTCTAAGCCCATTGGGCTTAACCATATATATATATTGGGTTCCTAAGCCCATTGGGCCACAGAGACGGGAGACATCTCCCGTCCACGAGGCTACCCATAGCCCGTGCTACTTGCCCCGCTCCTGTGCCAGGTAAGTTACGGGCTCACCATAACCCGTGCTACTTGGAACTTGTTCCGAGTAGCTGACTCTATAACAACAACAACAACCCATTGAGCTCAGGAACCTGTACACCAGTTGACTGACAGTTGAGATGACAGGAGCCAGGGGGCAGGAGCCAGGGGGCATCTTGAGCAGCTCTGACGGAGCCAGTCACAGTAAGAGTCAGATTATCATATAGTAACGTGGAAGAACCTCAAGAGTCGATGCTGGGACCCACATGCGTATCTGCTACAGAATATGACACGTGTCAGTATATGTATCATGTCTCGCCTGTCAATATTTTGACACGTGACACAGGCGTTTTCAAAAATCTGGTTTTTAAATATTTTTTTTATTTTTAATTTTAGTTTCAGATGACGATTTCACCCTGTCCTCTCATTCAATGCGTCCAAGATTTGTGTTTTTTCCGGGATTAACAATACGTTAAAAATACGACGCAATAAACACAATGATCACTTCTTCCGTTTTCTGTTTCTGTGGGGGATAATTAACTAGATTACCATACTATCACACACTTTTCTTTACCTCTTATACCTAATCCTGCACTTGTCCTTATTCCTCGCTTCTGTCCCCTCAGTTTCCTTCCTTTGGCTGTCTTTTCCAATTCCCTTCTTTCGCTTGTTATCTCTCTTCCACCCATTAGCCAATTTCCACTCTATGAGGGATTTATTTTCTATTAGGCTTCGCCTTTACCTTCCCTATCCACTTATTTCCCTTCCTTTCGCCTATTCCATGCAATATATATGTTCCTACAACTGGTTGAAAGACACCAGGGCTAACCATAGCCCGTGCTACTTGCCCCGCTCCTGTGCCAGGTAAGTTACGGGCTCGCCATAGCCCGTGCTGCTTGGAACTTGTTCCGAGTAGCTGAATCTGTAGCAACAACAGGTTGAAAGACCTCACTAACCTCCCCTTCGTCTCCATGCCATACAGGGTCCCTTCGGTTCCTGGAAGAGATATTACTTCGTGCTGGACGGTCGCCTGCTCACCTACTACCGCTCCCAGGACGACTACGAGCAGCTCTCAGGGCTCAAGGGCTCGCTGGACCTGACGCTGCTGGAGGACGTGCGCTCTAAGAAGCCCGGGCTCATGAAGACTCATTTCCCCTTTAGTCTGTCGCGCAGGAACCTTCATTCTATGAAGTTGGTGGGTTGATCTCTGCTAGTGTGGGGGAGAGGGAGGAGTTTGTTAGTGGTTGTTAGGGGAGGGGGGGTTTGTTAGGGGATGCTAGGGTGGGTTTGTTAGATAAAGAGGTACTGGAGAAAAAGAGAGAGAGAGAAAGAGAGAGAAAGAGAGAGAGAGAGAAAGAGAGAGAGAGAGAGAGAGAGAGAGAGAGAGAGAGAGAGAGAGAGAGAGAGAGAGAGAGAGAGAGAGAGAGAGAGAGAGGCAGAGAGACAGAGACAGAGAGAGACAGAGAGACAGAGACAGAGAGACAGAGAGAGACAGAGAGACAGAGACAGAGAGACAGAGACAGAGAGACAGAGAGAGACAGAGAGAGAGACAGAGAGAGAGATAGAGAGAGAGACAGAGACAGAGACAGAAAGAGAGAGAGAGAGAGAGAGAGAGAGAGAGAGAGAGAGAGAGAGAGAGAGAGAGAGAGAGAGAGACAGACAGACAGACAGAGACAGAGATAGACCTGTTGTCATTCAGACCCCTCATGCCCTGAGCAACAAGAATGCTTGTAGGGGTAAATTGTTAACTTAGGCTAAGAAGAAGTTAGTTTACATAGAGATGAATGAAGGGAATTACAGTGAACTGTATTGGTGCTTTTGTGTGCTGTCAGTAAGGGTATTGATAAGTATAAGGACCATAAAAGGGAGAGGCATTGAAACTTGCTTTTTTATTATAAGTTATGAGCAAGGTAAGAGGAAAATATAATATTTCTGTTGTTTAAAATTATGTTTGTTTAATATCTTCTGTATTTGCAAATAATTTCCGTTGCCCTTATTATTCTCGTTGTTTGAAACTTTTTTATTTCTCTCTCTCTCTCTCTCTCTCTCTCTCTCTCTCTCTCTCTCTCTCTCTCTCTCTCTCTCTCTCTCTCTCTCTCTCTCTCTCTCTCTCGCTTTCTTTTCTATCTACCATCTACTTATCTTTTTCACTCATTCTATCGTTTCTTCTCTTCCTCGAATCTTGCTAATCCACGCCTTGGTGCGCTAGGCCGCGGAGACCAGGGAGGAGCGAGAGAGGTGGCTCAAGATCTTGCAGGATATCCTACTGCGGCACAACCGGCTCTCTGGCTCCGACAACACTCTCGACGCCAGCAGGAGCGGCCCAACCCTCGATAATCACCAGTCGGTGAGTGCTTGCTGCTCTCCAGAGGGCTCTGTACAATCAGCCCCCTTGGACCTCTGTACAATCAGCCCCTTTGAACCTCTGTACAATCAGCCCCCTTGGACCTCTGTACAATCAGCCTCATGGACCTCTGTACAATCAGCCCCCTTGAACCTCTGTACAATCAGCCCCTTGGACCTCTGTACAATCAGCCCCATGGCCCTCTATATATCAGCTCCATGGCCCTCTATATATCAGCCCCATGGCCCTCTATATATCAGCTCTATAGCCCTCTATATATCAGCCCCATAGCCCTCTATATATCAGCCTCATGGCCCTCTATATATCAGCTCTATAGCCCTCTATATATCAGCCCCATGGCCCTCTATATATCAGCTCCATGGCCCTCTATATATCAGCCCCATGGCCCTCTATATATCAGCCCCATGGCCCTCTATATATCAGCCCCATGGCCCTCTATATATCAGCCCCATGGCCCTCTATATATCAGCCTCATGGCCCTCTATATATCAGCTCTATAGCCCTCTATATATCAGCCTCATGGCCCTCTATATATCAGCTCCACGGCCCTCTATATATCAGCCCCATGGCCCTCTATATATCAGCCTCATGGCCCTCTATATATCAGCTCCATGGCCCACTATATATCAGCCCCATGGCCCTCTATATATCAACTCCATGGCCCTCTATATATCAGCCCCATGGCCCTCTATATATCAGCTCCATGGCCCTCTATATATCAGCCCCATGGCCCTCTATATATCAACTCCATGGCCCTCTATATATCAGCCCCATGGCCCTCTATATATCAGCCCCATGGCCCTCTATATATCAGCCTCATGGCCCTCTATATATCAGCTCTATAGCCCTCTATATATCAGCCTCATGGCCCTCTATATATCAGCCCCATAGCCCTCTATATATCAACTCCATGGCCCTCTATATATCAGCCCCATGGCCCTCTATATATCAACTCCATGGCCCTCTATATATCAGCCCCATGGCCCTCTATATATCAGCTCCATGGCCCTCTATATATCAGCCCCATGGCCCTCTATATATCAACTCCATGGCCCTCTATATATCAGCCCCATGGCCCTCTATATATCAACTCCATGGCCCTCTATATATCAGCCCCATGGCCCTCTATATATCAGCCCCATGGCCCTCTATATATCAACTCCATGGCCCTCTATATATCAGCCCCATGGCCCTCTATATATCAGCTCCATGGCCCTCTATATATCAGCCCCATGGCCCTCTATATATCAACTCCATGGCCCTCTATATATCAGCCCCATGGCCCTCTATATATCAGCCCCTTGGCCTTCTATATAATCAACGCCATGGCGCGTTATATGATCAGATTATAATCATATATAATAATTATAATATATATGTATTTATAAATATATCACCATCGTTATAATTATATAGTTATTATAATATATATATATATATATATATATATATATTTATAAAATAGAATGGACTGTCAATCCGAGGCTGAAGGCCAGATGTCTAGGGCTAGTCTTGCTAACTTTGACACATGCAGTATCGGGCCATGTGAGCGTCACAGGCCAGGCAGGGTCGGTCCCAGTGCCACACTTTAAGAAATATCGGTCTCTAAACCAATCTGACCCCCCACTCCTCCACCTCCTCCTAGCTCTTCTTTGCGATTTTCATGAAGTCTGAAATATTTGTTGTGTTGTCCGTACACTTATTTAGCACCACCACCACCCACACTACCACTACCACCATCTACACCACCACCACCACTACCGCCACCTATACCACCTCTCCCCTACCACCACCTATACCATGAATTAAGGGAATAATTGCAGTGAACTGTATTGGTGCTTTTGTGTCCTGTCAGTAAGGGTATTGATAAGTACCACCACCACTACCACCATCTACTCTACCACCACCACCACCTACATGACCACCACCACAACCACCATCACCACAACATGTACCAGGAAGCGGTCGGATAAAAGCAAAACAAAAAAAGATCTAACGGATATCCTGTTGAAACGAAGCAGTAGTGATGACATTATCGATCATTGATGGCCCTCCTGGCACTCCTTCCTAGGAGGTGCCACTCCCTCACTGGCGTCACTTCCTCCTTGGAAAACTTCAGCTGCATTTCCCTGTTCACTCTGTCTCTCTCACGTGCCTCGAACCGCAGTACCGTCAAATACAAGCCATTATTGGTGTTTGAAGCTCCTGAATGAAGCATTTATGAACGTTTGATTCGAGCAGAGAACGTGAACGAAGCACTGCTCGAGAATAACAAAAACACGTCCTCAGTTGTGAGTCGTGTGTTTAAGGTGTTTTATATTCACAACAGGAAGTGGGGAAAGGGGGGGGGGTGTTTGGTGGCTTGTTTAACGAGTATTTGGTGTTTGTTGATGAGGACGGACTGCAGATGAGAGAGAGAGAGAGAGAGAGAGAGAGAGAGAGAGAGAGAGAGAGAGAGAGAGAGAGAGAGAGAGAGAGAGAGAGACAGAGAGAGAGAGACAGAGAGAGAGAGGGAGGAAGAGAGCTTTTTGTCTCACTTAGGCTGTGAGGCTTTATTCTAACACCATGAACGATTCGCTCTTGAATACTTATCGATACGTGTACAAAATGACGACAACGTTAACCCTTGTTGAGTAATTCATGCAAATAATAATAATAATAATAATAATAAAAATAATAATAATAAGAATAATAAGAATAATAATAATAATAAATTATTACAGTGCACAGACACTGTTGTGGTCAAGTTCTTGAACCATTTATGCTATAAAAAGACTTGATATATTTCAGCAATTCTCTGAACACACTTATTCGCTCACGATGGCACAATGGGCTTTATCACTGAGCTCCCAAACAATTGTCACCCTGATGGCACAGGTTCGAATCTCGGAGGTATCATTAGAATATCGAAATCCAGAGTTGGAGGAATCCCCGGGCCGGACAGAAAAGTTGGGCACATTTCCCTTTCATCTAATGCTTCTGTTCACCTTGTTCCCGCCCTACACCAGTAAATAGGTACTCCGGAGTTTACCAAAAGTTGCCTCCTGGGAAGGAATAGTAGTTCGACCTTGAAGAGCAGCCTGCCTATCCCCAATAGGCAGGCTGTCTATCCACCATAGGCAGGCTGTCTATCCCCCATAGGCAGGTTGTCTGTCCCCCATAGGCAGGCTGTCTATCCTCCATAGGCAGGCTGCCTATCCCCTATAGACAGGCTGCCTATTCCCCATAGGCAGGCTGTCTATCCTCCATAGGCAGGCTGCCTATCCCTCATAAAATCATTAAATCCACTACCGCTCACTTCCCTATTCTTTTACAGAAATCGGCTACACTTCCCGGACGGACTAACGTGACCTCAGACCACGTCCCCACCACCAGCTCCGACGAGGACGACGAGGACGACGAGCCTCAGCTGATCAAGCCTAAGAAGGTCATGAGAGTCCCCATCGGCGGCCCGCTCGTCGGGGTCAACATTGGAGAGATTAAGCTCAAGAAGGTTGAACCGAAAAAGAAAGATGTGAGAGTGTTTTTGCTGTTGATGTGTGTGTGTGTGTGTGTGTGTGTGTGTGTGTGTGTGTGTGTGTGTGTGTGTGTGTGTGTGTGTGTGTGTGTGTGTGTGTGTGTGTTGGTGTGTTGGTGTCATCTAGTACCTGTTAGCCTTCACCTAATCCTGTTGAACTTTAACCTGCTGATTATGATCTGTTAAATGTTTCTCTTGATATTGGAAAGTTGTCAAGGCATTCAAAGTCATTCCAACTTGTCAGTGGGCGTGGAGGCGGCCGGATTGACTGGGCCAGCATTTCACTCACGAGGTGGTAGAGATGCACACAGTGATCTCATGCGGAATGAGAACTCTCTTTGGAGGATTAGAACTCTATCTTTAAGATCAGAGCTCTATGTTAAAGATCAGCACTCTCTTGGTAACATCAGAAATTTCTCTGGAAGATTAGATTCTCTCTCTCTTTGGAAGGTCAGAACTTTCTCTCTGGAGGATCAAACTTCACTCTGGGGGATTAAAACTTCCTTTAGGTGAACAAAACACACTTTGGAGGATCAGAAATGTCAATAATGGCGATTATTAAATTAAATAATAATTTATTTACATATATATGCAAGAAGTTACATTTGGGTTTATGAGAGTACATAGCATGATGTGTTTACATTCTTGTAAAGCCACTAGTACGCACAGCGTTTCGGGCAGATATATTGGGCTAATTTTGGTAGCTCACATGTGGAGACCAATATTATGATGGATACCTTGATGTGGTACCTGAGGCACCTTTCCTTACATTCACTACCTCATAAATCACTATCAGTGATGCCTTATTCAGCAACTCTTCTAGCCCAAGGATAAACAAAAAAACTTATTAAATGATTTCCATTCTCTACATGTAAGCCTTGTTGTTGTAGTTTGACAAAAGAGCTTGTCTCCTCCGGTTTGAATCCTCCTGTTTGGGTAGTTGGGTCGAGATTTGTAAATTAAGCCTCTAGGTTTAGTTGACAATTTGTTTATTCTGCACTAATGACCTTGTTGTTATAGCATTGGATGAATTATATGTTAACTATCCAGTCACATTGCTTTTCTTGTAGTTGAAGTCTAGTAACCACATGCCCAACTCCTCCTGGAGTTTGTCATTGTAGAGAAAGCTATTTTTTACATAATTTTTCATTGATATTTTTACACATTAGATTTGTTTCATCCACAAACATCGACTTGAGAGATATAGTGTATACGGTCATATCGTTCACATGTGTCATGAACAGCTGTGGTCCATGGGACAGGACTGGAGTACTCCACCTGTGACTCTCTATTCTGGTATGTCTTTTTGTTGGGGTCCTGGCCAACAACGGGGACCTGGTATGTCTTGGGTTCCTTGTTTTGTTATCTGTGTTATTCTCTGGAGTGCACTTCCTGGCACATTACTGGAGTATCCTCCCTGATACACCACTAGAGTTCTCCTGGGAGACCACTGGAGTGCTCTCCCAGTGGCGTATTTCCTTCAAAATGAAGGAATATTCCATGTGGCCTGTTATTTTAATGTTTATTTCCCCATCACCTAGCACGCTATGAATACATAGGATGCTGGTTTATAGTTTCAGGCCTCTCCATTAGTTGCTCCCATAGGCCTATATCGTCTACATTTCAGTATCCTGCCATATATATGGCAATGTTAAAATCAGAAATAATTTTCAAAACTTGCTATGCAGAAATAATACTAAGTGATTTGCACAATATTTTAAATATCGTGTTTATATTTAATTGATATGGACTTTTTATTTTTATTTCAATTCATATCAATACAAATTTGCAAATGAATACTTATTTGCTCGAAGGTGGGTCTCATATGATTAATATAATATTTTCAAACTCTTTCTCCCGTTCTTATCTCTGTTTCTTTCTCCGGTGATAGGCTGCAGACGACGGGACATCCGGCTCCTCAGACGAAGAGGTCAGTGTTCTCAAGAAAGAGCCCATGTTTCCCCTGAGTGGGGTCAAACTCAAGAGTGTGAAGAGACCTGACGAGCACAACAACGGAGACAGAACCGGAGATGATGACAGAGAAGACAAAACTCTGCCAGCTGGAGAGATGTTCGGAGTGAAACTGAAGAAAATTCAGAAGAAAGACGAAATCTCCTCGAAAGACCTCACAACTGAATTTAAGAGGGAGGAAGGAGGTAGCTCTCAGAAACGCCCCCATAAACAGCCAGTCATCCCGCTAAACAACAGCTCTCTTCTTAACCGATCGGAAATAAGTTCGCCCAAACTTTCTCCCGCTATTCAGAAGAAAAATCCAACGGAGAGAAGGAAATCTCCCTCCCCTAGCATTCCTCTGTCTAGGAGTGTTCACGCCCTTACTAAGTCTGTTGACGAAGTTAGCGTTACAAGCGCAGAGGTTCTCTCTGATTCAAACAAAGAAAACGTAGCTTCCGACGTCGCGAATGAGAAACTAAACAAAGATATCACTATCCATCACGCCGAGCGACGTGAACTGAGGTTCAGTGAGGATATAGTGAGCATGGATGTTGAACCTGTGGTTGAGATAGCTGTTGTTACAATAGATACGGAGACACAGGAGAATCACGAACAGGAAGCAGATGACGATGGGAAGAAACAAGTTGTTTCAAGAAGACCTGAAGATGAGCCGGGGGATGCTGATGATTCATCTCCTGATTCCTCATCTGGAAATAAATGTCCGATGGCTATTCAAGAAATGCCCATTGTAGTGAATACAAATTCAGATGAAGAACCAGAATATGAAGAATTTGACGGAGAAATTGTGAACTATCTGAAGCAGACTCCAAATACTGGATCAGCGCCTTCAGAGAGGAATCCTAGCGTCGAAGAGGAAAATGATTACGAAGAATTTGATGAAGAATTTCTAAATAAGATCAAGAATAACACGGCGAGCTTCAAGACATCGCCTCCTCAACACTTCCCTTCATCAGCATCAAGTAGTGCTCCCCTTCCTATTACTCCCTTCAACAACGAAAAAGACTCCCCACCACCGATACCAACGAGCCCTTCCCCTTGTCCAGTCCGTTCAACGAAGAAGATTCCTTCACCCGCCCCACAAGACGACGAAGATGACGAGCCCTTCTATGAAGACTTCGACGATGACTTTCTCATGAATATGAAATCCTCCGGTAAGCCAACTTCAGTGTCATCTACAACAAGTTCTCCTGGCGAAGTCTTGAAGGCAGTTGTAGGGCAGGACGTTAACAGCCAGGACGGGATTACTCCTCCACGCAGTCCTTTCAGAGGAAGAACCAACACCAATGAAAGTTCGACCTCGTCTTGTAAAAGTGATTCGGAAAATGCGGAAAAGAAATCCTCTAAGTTTAAGATGTTCAAGAACAGGTTGTCTGGAGGTTCGAGCTCAGGAGATAAGAAGGAAGTTGAAGAGCTTAAAGATCCCAAAGATAAGAAGCGAAAGGGAAGCACTTTCTCATTTCTTCAGGGAAAGAAAAGTAAAGATAAGAATAAAAAGCCCTGTGATGAAGTAGACGTAAACCCATCCGAGACGCTCACTGTCGTCAATCAACCACTCACTGACACGTCAAAAGATGCTGCTGAAATTAAGCCCCCACTCGCTGGAACGGATGAATCTCCAGACCCAATGAAAAATGGCAATGGAGCCATAACCCTTCCAGAGCCTGTAGCAGACCCTTGCAACACTGAGGACACCAAACCCCAACATACTAACTCTCGTTCTCTCAGTCCGGTAATCACAGAGAACTTGACTGTTGTCATGCGCCGGGATACTCATCACACCAACGGCGAGGCCCGCTGTAGCACCTACAGCCGAGCGTCCACTAGCTCCAGAGACCAGGAACCAGCACCTTCCATACCGGAAAAGACCAGACTCAGAGCAAAATCCCCAAATCACGACGTCCCGCAGAGTAACCGGCCAGTGACCAACTTCTATCCCTGCAGCGTTCCACAGGAGCAGGAGCAGGAACCAGAGAGTAAAGAGCTGCTTGATGGCTACATCTCGGAGGAGCAAATACATGCCATCCTCTCAGCCAGCGAGTCTCGGGATAAGAGGAGACATTCCCAATCCCGCCTTCAGGGTTTTGTGATGACTGTAACCGATGCTTCTAGGAGTACGGGAGGCGACGATTCCGAGGACTGGATGTCCAAGCGACCCTCGTACGTCTCCATCAATAGCACGGAGAGCGACGAACCTCTTCCCACGACAAATTTCCTTAGTGATAGGCGTTCGTCGAGCTCAGGAAGTCTCGTGTTTCGATCGAAATCGTGCGAATCCGACGACTCGGGTGAGTCGCATGGGCAAGCATCAAGGGACGCTGAAGACCCGCCCTCGGAGCAAGATATGCCTGTTGTCCTTATGAGAAAACCTTCTCGAGTTACGGACATTCTCATGTCCAGTAATCGCCTCAGCCTTACCTCGCCTGAATACACGGTGGTGGAAGAGGACGGACCTGGCACTCCAGACGCCACAAAAACCACTTTCCCATCTGAGGAAGAACAAGAACAACAAATTCCTTCGGTTCAATCCACAAGTGAACGAAAAGTCTCTGTAGACGACGAAGGAAATGAGCAGGAAGATTATTTTCCAGTGGTAGGAGGGGGTGTCGAACTCCGGAAATTACCGGGTAATCTGGCACTAGGAGATTCCTCAACACACGATATGAGGACATCTGGTATCATCGAACTGAAGGAGTACCTCAAGGAAATGGATACAGATAAGGACGCGAAAGAGCTGAAAACGGGAATAAGTCGCCTTGGCCACAGTGCCGCCGTCGAAAAGCTCAAAACGACCACAGATGAACTTTAAGGAAGGCTAATTTACAAAAAAGAATGTATTCTATATACAGTATCAGTGATATACCTAGTCTCTGTTTAAACGTACCCAATACGTAAGTCTGAAAGGCTTTCTTAAATACAAAGCACTTCGTTGTATCCGCACTTCATATCCCCCCCACGTGTTAAAAAGCTACTGGGCCTCTCCAGCCTTCTCCGTGCAATTTAAACTTTGTCTCAGTCTTCTCTGTCTGCCTGCCTGCCTGTGGTGCTGCAGTTACGACTACTCTCGAGAGCTCTCGACTCTTGGAACTGAATCTCCTGAAATGTGTCATTCACATCCTGACTGTCTAGGTCCTCCACGTACTGATTGGTCAGATCCTGAGCATGCTGACTGTCCAGGTCCTCCACGTCCTGATTGGTCAGGTCCTCCGAATGCTAACTGGTCATGCCTCCAGGTAATGACTGGTCACATGTTTGTAAAGTGTACACTTTTCACTCCACACAACTTTCTTTTTACGATTGTAAGAATGTATTAAATTGTAATTGATATGAATTAACCCGATTTGTTTCAGTCTCCCCAAGCTCCGTTTTCTCAGTCGTAATATGTCAATTACGTGTTGACTTTGGGTAATGGAATGAAATCATTCAATCAAAAACTCTATTCATATAAGGCTGTACTCAGTTGCGTCAGTCATGCGTCTCTTGAGGTGCGTAAGGGGGAAGCGTAAGTGAATTATCCTCCTTGGCGTGTAGCACAGCACAAAAAAATCTTTAGCACAGTTCATAATTAATTATATTGTATTTTAATGTATTTTTATGTTGTTAATATTTATTAACTGATTATTCTCTGATCACGAAAATCTACAAATTCGTTTCAGTAGCAAAAAAAAAACTGAACAATAATTTGGAACAAGTGAACAACAAAGACATTAAATAATAAAAATAAATAACATAATCTGGCGTCCTTGCGAATCATGGCACGGATAAAAACACTAACATTAATTATAGATGTTAAAGAAATTAGTAGAACTAGGATTAAATACGCTGAATCCGGTAATCATAATTACAAAAACAAAACTCACTGAAAGTTTTGATATTGACATAGAACGAACTACGTAGATATTTCAAGTTCATCTGTGCATGTTGGCGCGTGATTTTGAGTGACATTTACTGATCTAACGAAACATATAACGACCCCTTCCTTCTCCCTCGACCATCCACCTTTTGCCACCCTACACAAATTGTTTGCCAAACAACCTCGTTTCGATAGTTTTGTAACTATCGCCATTTTGACCTCATTCGACATGGCGTCAGGGCTTCAGACGTAACTTTCCGCAGGTCTCAGAGAAGGGGGTGTAGGCTACGGTCTCAGGTGAGTGGTGTAGCCTACTGTCTCAGGGGAGTGGTGGAGCCTACGGTCTCAGGGGAGTGGTGTAGGCTTCGGTCTCAGGAGAGTGGTGTAGCCTACGGTCTCAGGGGAGTGGTGTAGCCTACGGTCTCAGAGGAATAGTACAGGCCACTTCATCAGGTCTATGTTTTTTCTTGCAGTGTAAACAAAACCTTCTTAGTTCCAGTCAATTGCAATAATCAAGAGAGTTTTAAGGTGAGATCTTGAGTTATTTGATTCGATTCATATTTATAAATAGTCTTATGTATCGTGAGTTTATCTAAAGTGTATAAATCTGTGAGAATAAATCTGCGAGTGTATTAATTTATTATACATTTGTAGTGTATGTAGATGAATCCGATGACTGTGTTGTATACGTACTATGCGAGGCCTAGAAAAGATTTTTTTTCGCTGGCTTTTTAAGAATTGAATTATTTGGTGTGCAACACTCCATAGTTAGTTCAAGTACGTTTATTGAGACAAAAAAATACATCTCAAGGGATAAAGTAGCTTAGGCTATTTCTACCCTCCTCTATAGTTAATACATTCTATCCACAGTTGCTATAAAAGCCGGTATATGACAGGAGATAAACTCCACATTAAAAAAAAATTAAGCTAAATTTTGTATAGAATTTCCTTTTTGTTTTATCTAAATCAAGTTTTATTGACTATAGGCTGATGTTTTAGAATATCAATGAGCTTAATTATTAAAAAAAAAAGTATTATTCAACATTGTGTACGTGTTTAGAGGAAATAATATGTTTTACCGGCATTAGTTGATTACTTTCTTGAAATCAACCAATGAACGTACACTCGAATTACACAGTTCTTTCTTGTGACAGGATGTCCTTTTCCTTCCATTAAATTTAACGAGAAACATCCGTTGATTTGTTGCTTGTGTATATATGTATATATATATATATATATATATATATATATATATATATATATATATATATATATATATATATACACAAGCAACATATATATATATATATAATATATATATTATATTTATATATATATATATATACACAAGCAACATATATATATATATATATATATATATGCAAACAAGCCTGAATGGTCCCCAGGACTATATACAACTGAAAACTCACACCCCAGAAGTGACTCGAACCCATACTCCCACAACTGGTATGTACAGGGACGCCTTAATCCGCTTGACCATCACGACCGGACATAAGGAAGTGATAGCCGAGGCTATATGAACCACTTCCCCGCCGGCACTCGGATGGTAATCTTGGGCATAGCATTTTATCAAATCACCTCATTCTTTGGGGCACACGTGAGGAACACAAATAATTATTTGTGTTCCTCACGTGTGCCCCAAAGAATGAGGTGATTTGATAAAATGCTATGCCCAAGATTACCATCCGAGTGCCGGCGGGGAAGTGGTTCATATAGCCTCGGCTATCACTTCCTTATGTCCGGTCGTGATGGTCAAGCGGATTAAGGCGTCCCTGTACATACCAGTTGTGGGAGTATGGGTTCGAGTCACTTCTGGGGTGTGAGTTTTCAGTTATATATATATATATATATATATATATATATATATATATATATATATAATATATATATTATATTTATATCCCAACCCTCACGTCTGAAAATTAAGGAAGCGACGAAGTTTTCGGTCCGTCCTGGACCGTTATCAAGTCCTAATCATGGTCCATGACGGACCATGCTTTTTCATATACAAAGTTATCATCACAAACTAAGAAGCAAAACTTGACACTTAAAATTATAAGAAAATTAAAAGAAAACCTGATATAAGGTTACCCATTTTCTTTGAATGTCAAGTAAACAACATGTGATACAAATTGCAATTCACTTTGTAGATAACCCATATAATTTTATTTTTTTCATTATCAGATAAAAAAATATATATATTCAATTCGTTTTGCAGTCTTAGAAGAAAGAATGCCACAGCCGTCTATGCAAATATACCCGTAAACATTATTAATCGCTCATGACTCGAGGTAACAGCCTGCCACCCTTCATCAACAAGGCAGGCAAGCTTCCTGGATCAGCCTAGCTTGCCATACGGCTGCAGTTACAGTTCCCTTGATCCGGCGTTAACGCTCGGAGGCTCGTGCCTCTAGGGGCCGGGAACTTGAGTGAACTAACGCGCGTGAGTGTGTTAGGCTAGTATGGGAAGAGGCAATAGGTTAGGTTGTGCGACAGCCGAAGAAACACAGCAATTGACGGTCAATGGTGCCCTTGGGTGTGGGTGGAGAACGAGACTTCATCCTTCAGCGTCTCCTCCAGGTCAGTATAGGCTCTCTTAATTCACCTACCGAGATCTTTGCCAACGAGAATTTCATTAGTGCCTCGGTAAACCGATTTTATTTCCATACGTTAACTACGCTACATGGATCAGAATTAAGTTTTTTTTAGTGTTCAGTACCGTAGGCACTCTACCTTCCAGTCCAAGTGTAACAATAGGCCAAAATGTGATTTTGTATTTCTATATTTTTATATTGATTGCACTTAAATTGAGATTACGAAACTGACATAAGCCTAGCGCATATATAAAATCGAAATCGCGTGTTAATTTTCGTATGTAATTTGTAAAGTAGAGAATTCGTGATTAAATAAGACGTTATAAAGGTGGCAGCCTTTAAGTATATTTAGTATATATTATATGCAAATGTAAGGTAAATAGCAAGCCGTATGCAAAATTAACAAGTCAGTTTTATTGTTGAATTTAAATGTGTGTCGTGTTAAATTCTTAAAATTTTCATATGAAAATTTGTATACTATTAAATGCAAATCAAAGCAGGCTTATGTTTGTTTCTTTTAAAGTGCAAAATAATATAATCTATAGCTAGTTGTAATTGAATTTGCAAAAGTTTGAGTTCAGAGTGATAAAAATGTAAATGTCATCTATGTAATTGAAGAGTTAACAAATCTAGAATAATGTGTAGGATATGCCCATGTGGACACGTACGCTGCCACGCTCTGGCTGCTGTCAACCCTGGCACACAAACTGTTGGAAATTGAAAGTTTATTTTGGTATAAATACAAACTGGTTAGTTTCCCAGTGGGGAGGCGGGAATGGAGCAGGCAGGTGTGTACTGGCTGTTGTGATCTATGCCAGTGTTGGAGTATGGACTTGGAGCAGATGTCTTGGCAGCCTCAGAATGGTGTGTGGTTCTGCCACTCGTCCTCTTTGCCCCACACCCGACCCCTTACACCCTTCCCCCCCTTACACCCTGCCCCCTCCCCCTTACACCCCGGCCCCCCCCCTCCCTAACACCCGTCACCTTTAGTTAAAAGCAGAGCGTTGGAATATAACTTCCAACGCAAACAATAGATCTTGATATTTAAAGTGAGTACCACCATATGCCCACGTCGAAGGGACTCAAAACCAATTCGTTATTGAACAAGGGACTTGACATTAGCAAAATAGATATTGACAGACCTAACAAGTGATGGGAGTTCATCAATATATATACGAATATTAAACGCATATCTGATAACTTTTAACATGCCACAATTGAATTCATTCCCAAGGCACGAAAACACATCAAAGTCAAACTGGAAATTACAAACCAATTTCTTACTTTGGGGGCGGAGGCTTCTGTAGGCGTCGGTGGGGGGGGGCGGAGGAGGCTGCTGTAGTGGGGGGGGGGTGGAAGGAGGTTGCTGTAGTGGGTGTGGGAACCGACCTGTGAGATTTATATTTATTTAATTTATATGAATTTATATTTACGTTAATTTATATACTTTGATAGCAATTTGTATAATGATAAGTGGACTGTATTTCTGCAATAATCTCATAATCTCACAAATCGATCCTCTACACATTAGGGGGGTTTATATTAATTTAATTTATATATATGCAGCCAATCAAACTACAGTATTAACTACATACATTGAAAAGGTTCCTTATCTTATAGTACAGCAGGTCTTAGTCCACCAGGTATAACTAGGGTGTAGACACCACATTTTCCCTCTTTGAGGTAGCTTCCATCACCCTGGTAACTGATGCACAAAGCATGCTTCCTCGTCTTGACCTGTCAAAAGGGCGCTAGCTGTAAAGCCAGAATCCTATATATGACAAGCTATATCAGAGAAAACACTATACATGGAACCATGAAGACCTGGCTTAATTACCTTTAGTATGAGGCGATCTCGTGATCTAAC